ACACACACACACACAGAGGTTACATCACTCTGACAACAGTGTCATCATTTTGTGAGTTAAACACTGCCAAACAAAATTTTAGTTTTTGGTATTTCAGCCTGCATATTGTCTGCTGGCTGATCTCCTCCCCTTGAGAATGAATAGAATGTTCTAGCCATGGCAGCGTATTGTTGCTATGAATAGATGCAGTTCAAAATGGGTCAATTTATAGTTAAAAGCACTCATCTGTGCAGTGTATTGCCAGAAGGCGAGTGTATGTAAGCATGCTGTCATCCAGTCACAGATTCGTCTCTGGAGATCTGCCCTTAACCAAATGGCTTCCCGTTTGTATGTGGCAAAGTGGAGCAGAAAAAAGGCACAGGACAAAACTGTTCCAAAATGATGTTTTTATTTGTCTAATTTTTTAACATATCAAAGAAGCAATTTGGTAAGATGGAGCTTAACTGTACCAAATGATCTTGATGATACATTTAAAACAGCTCTGTCAGAGCACTACATTTCTTTTCATCTGTGCTCTACTTCAGGCCACTGAACTTTAGTGTTAATGACCTCTCTCTCATGTATTGAACATAATGTGGTTTGAGGAGCCTTGTTGTACTGAGGTACTTGAGGCACTTGAAACTACTGACTATAAATTGGAGGAGGAGAGTGAAAAGATTCCTTTGTTTCTCATAGATGTCTCTGCTGTCATTGAGTCACAAAGAGAAACACACAGCAAGTAGCTAATCTATTTGAAAGGATGTGGATGCCCACTGAAAGTAAAGTAAATAATGATAGAAGCTCGGTGTGTGCAAAAACTGAACCACAGAACAGCACAAGCTACAATTCAAAGTAGATTTAGTAGATTAGAACGGCTTTGTGTTTCCATGTAATGTATGTTATTTCGGGTAAAAGATGTTTTCCTTCCTTTGCATTGCAGTCTTATTCTGTTAATTAGAAAGAATGAAACCTGCAAAGAATTGTACTTTGTAAAAACATAAAAACATGTACGATGATCTAAAGAAAGTGGTGTGATTAGAGCTGAAATACTTAAAAAATAAAATAAATATGTAAATTGAATATAATAAATTGATGAATCAATAAATTAATCGTCTTTTATTAATCAAAAATGCCAAACATTCCTTAGTTTCAGCTCTTTTTAAAATTGACAATTTGCTGCTTCACTGTTCTATATTATCCAATGATATCGCTTTGTGGACATTTTGCACTATTTCATGACATTTTATTGACTAAATGATTAAGTGAAAGGAGATGTATTTATTTATGTCAAGTATGTTTTATTGAGGAAGGATAACAAGATGTAGGACATGAGAATGCAGTGCACATTTTCACAGAAGAAAGAAAAAGTATTTAACTAAGCTGCAGCCCCAGATGTGATTGTATTAGTTCTATGAAATATTTATATTTATATAGGACTATATAATGGCACTGATCACACGATTAGATTAAATTTCTCCAATTCCATTTGTTTAGATTAAATTTGATTGATTCTTAAAGATTAAATAACATCCGATAAACACTAACTTCGCATTGATATGAAGGCGCTTCTGGAAATTACGCACAATTTTTTTCAAAGTATACTTTACAGTATATTACTGTGGATTTGTGTACAGAGTAATTAGCGCAGCAAAAACATCTTGATTTTCTATTAAGAACTGAACTCCTTTATTGTGATAAATATATTGTACATGTACCACATTGGTGATATATATAGTTGAGAAATGAAAGATTGAGGCTTCAACAACCTCAGTAATTCTATCTGGATTGCCTTGGCCTGAGTCCTCGATGACATATGACTACAAAACCCCTGCCATGAATAGTGGTACTCTGCGATGTCACCATGTGTGTATGTGTGAAGAAATGGGCATGGGTCAGACAGAGAAGCCACTAGCATTGGACAATGGGTTCCCAGTGTCTGCTGCTCTGAATGACATTATTCATACACATTAATAATCTCTTCTTTTTTTCCCCTAAGAATTGACATCCTGATTATAATGGCTTCATGCAGTGTCAATCTAGGAACTTTTGTACCCATTTAAGTGTCAACTGTACTTAGCAAGGTCACATTTGTAATTGTTGGCCGAAGGGTCTTGGAAACAAAACCCTTTACGCTTTACATGGTGCCACTGGGGGTGAGTGAAAGCATGTATTGGCGACTTGAGGAAACTTTGCTAGCTGCAGCAGACGGTTTAGTCCACAGGACACGGCTTCTCTCTCCGGGTTGCATCTTGTTTGTATCTGTTTAAACTGTAGCAAGTTCAACCACTGGCAAACAGTTTTAGAGACTTTTTACGGCGTACTTTGCGATGGCAGCATACGTCCTTTAAGGATGTTGAGCTAAGTATGGGAACAGCTGAAAGGTGAGCAGAGCACCATCACTTGCTACAAATATAGTTCAGGGTTACACAAAGTAGCACAAGTGCGTTTTTTGCTCTCTTGTATGGCAGTAATTTGATTTTCCTGCAATTTACTTGGGAATAATGACTACGGTAAGAATGGATATTTGGTTATGTAAGTGTGAAGATAAGTTAGAGGTGAAATACTGCTGCTCTGTACACAGAGATGCTTATCCGGATAATGATATGTTTAGATAGGAAATCCCTGAATTGTTCATTGTGAAAATACAGACCTTAAAGGAAATCGGTTTTAATGACGATTAAGGGGTTTTTTATATTGTTCCTTTTGAAGTTGTGGTTAATATTCACTCCATTCTGAAGGTTTAACTTAAAAGTAGCTCTGACTGTGACTGTATGTACGTCAGATTGGATTAGACATTATGTCATGATTGTGCGTGATTAAAGGGTGATGAGGACAAGAGTGGAATATTGTACTTTCTGTGGTAATGCTCAATAATGGCTTTCCTTTTATTCTTTTCTTTATTATGCCTTCCACGCTGGCATCCACATATGTAAGGAAACATCCACTCAAAGTATTCACCTCCATTTTCATCTTTTCCACAGCACAAAGAGGAAACAAAAGTCAGCTAATCCAAGCACTGCACAGAAGGAACCAAATTCCTGCACAAGCATGGCAGACCAGAAGTAAGTTTTAGAAGTCATCTACAGTATTTGAGCCTTCACCTCACATTTTGTGTGTTAGTTCAAATGTCCATCTGCTCTCTTGGTTCTTGATTTGTGTGCCTTTGAATTCCACAGAGATCTATTTATATCCTTCACCTCTGTGCCAGAACACGTAAGACATCTGCCCATTCACAGGCAGTCTGAGCACAGAAACACACCTCTGGAGAGTCTAATCTTTCCTGTAAGACAGAAGTACCGTGCAAACAGGGACAGCCCAAAGACAAACTAGCAAGCTGTGTCTTGACCTTAAGGCATGACGCACTGTTTACTTTCTACAGAAGAGTTTGTCCATTGCAAGTCTTGCAGAACAGAGTTATATCAGATGCAGAAACGATTTGATGTTGTTACTTAACCTTATATGCCCCCAACGATTGCGCTTCTCAAACCACTTGATGATATTTTACAGACCTGAACATTCATATTAGTGGCGTATGTGCATATACAAAATGTTTCATTACGTATATAACCTCAACTGAAAACTACAATGTAAATCTCTATCACATGGATGATCAAATGATGTTGTATTTTTCCCCTCACAGAGACAACATAGATGACTTTAAAGTCCAGACAGCCAAGCATTCTAACATCACCTCAGCCCCTTTACGGCCACACAGTGAACACTCTAAAGACCGGGCATCCAAAAGGCTTTCATCTGACTCTAATGGGACTAGTGAAGGAGGCGTGGGGTCGTCCACACCAGTGGAGTTGACCGCTTTGGAAGAGGCATTTCGGCGCTTCGCCATCCACGGTGACACTCGAGCCACCGGCAAGGAGATGCACGGCAAGAACTGGTCCAAGCTCTGCAAGGACTGTGGAGTGATTGACGGCAAGAACATCACCCTCACTGACGTGGACATTGTCTTCAGCAAAGTCAAGTAAGAAAGACAAATAATAATAATTGTTATTTCTGTTTGGGGCTTTTACTTTTCATTGTCTAAAAGTCTGTTTCAGTTGCCCTTAATCCGTCTGTTAACATCTGCGCCAGCTAAGATCATGTAACAGGCGTGCCACTACAGGATTGTGTTCTTTGTACAACGTAGTGTTTCTTTACTGTTGCAGCAGCAGAGATGACTACAGGCTTAGTCAGCCAGATCAACATGCCCAAAAGGCCACTAAGGTTGTGCAAACATGGAAGCATTGTGGTTGTAAGAACACAGAAGACCAAGCATATTTCTTGTCTATTAGTGTTCAGGGCTTTGAATCAGTGTCGTTGTCTTTAGCACACAGTCAAGTAAAACAGGCACCAACTTTATTGTACATTGACTGACCAGACAGACAGGGCAATGGAAACTGACTTGGAATTCATTAAGGTGTCAACTGTTTCTTAATGTTTCATTAGTGTCTGCACCAATGAAACATTAACATTAACTTAAGTTAGCATAAGCATTATAGAAAAAACTCTTAACACTCTTATGTAGTTATTGAATTCCATGTTTTCAGGCAGTTTATTTTGGAAGATTGTTTCTTATATTAGGTTGGCTCAGATGAAGCTGTCCATTAGAAACAGCAGCCAGAGCAAGAGGCCAAGACTGCTCATTCTGTATGTCCTCAGGCTAGTTTGATTCATCCTATACTGCTTGATTTAAGTGGAGTGGAGTCTAATAATAAGCTGTGACCTCAATATTATTTCGACAATGAAGGAAAATGTTTCATCTGTACAGCTGTGCTTATGTTTACCAAGTGAGCTGAGTGTCTGCAGACTATTTGGATTGATACCACATTGACAGATAAGTTTAGTGTAGTGCAGTCTTTCACACAACATTAAGTGTCAGTCTTATTAATGTCCATATATAATAAGGAACATACAGGTGTAGCCTAAGTGGAAAAGAAAAAAGCCTGTGTATGAAAGGACAGGGCTTTTACAATGTGGATTTGTATGGTCTTTGCGCATGGTTATTTTGAAGCTCTTCATTCATTTGTATAATGGTTCAATGTTGTGAATAAAGATTGCTCTGCTAGACAGCACCAGAATAGAAGAGTATGGCTTGAAGCCACTCACCATCAAGTCTTGCTGCAGGAGTGAAGAGGCCATGAAAAATGTCTGCTTGGAAATCTCATATTGATTTAGAGGATTTTCCATCTTCTGCTGGTGTGTCATAGTTCAATCTCAGTCACTTTGTGTACAAACTTATAAACAGGAGATTCCAAAATGGTCTTATTATTCATTATTATAGTGTTATTTGTCTGTTCGAGATTATTTATTTCTGTAGTGTTGAGATACAATTTATAAAAATTTTGGGGGGGAAAAACAGCTCCAGGAGTACTGAAATCCTAAAAATCTATCTCCAAGACTAGGACTACTACTATTAAAAATGTACATTACAGTGGAAACTAGAATAGCCGTATTTTTTTCATTTCTGATTTCTTGAGTATCAAGTAGGAAGATGCACAGAAGGTATTTGAAATAAAGTATTATTTTACAGTATTATATACTCTGGAACTGACTTAAAGTACATCTTAGTTTCTTAAATTACAGACCAAAACATTGACCAAACATGTTAGAGGAGATAAACAGGAAAGCTGTGCATGTGGCTTTAGATGGTAGAGACGTACATTAACTTACATGTTTAACCAGGTCTATTTGTGCCTGTTTATAATTTGAAGCTTTAACATGACGTCATTGATCGCATCTATACACCCCAAAAAGGTGCAAGATATAACAATGCAGAATGGAATATGCAGACTAAAGCAAGTACTTGTAGTTTACACATGTTTATGATTGGCATTATTTTTGCCCTTCATAGTGAATGTTCTCTGCTGAAAAATAATAAGCACCTTTACCTACCAAGAACAAACCCTTAAGGGTTTATAGTTCATACAAATGTATAAACATCCATTATTTCAACCATCACCTCGTTCAAAGACTGGTTTAAAACTCCTACCTTACAACGCACAAACCTTTTGC